ACGCTCCCCAGAATAGAAGGAGCCAGAACCGTAAGGCCCTGTTTTATTTAAAAAAAAAAAAAAAAAAAAAAAAGAAAAAAAAAAAAAAAAGAACTCGGTGCTAGTGACCTTGTGGTATGCAGGCGCGCTGCATAAGCCAGGTAAGTGCACCTTCAGATACGTCAAAAAGGCGATCCATGCACGCTTATGGTCGAACAACGCACAGGCGGACGACTCCATATGCAGAGTGGCCTGGAACAAGCTCATCCAACCAAGGCGCTTTGGAGGCCTCGGACTGCTGGATCCCTGGACGCAGATAATTTCTCTGTGGTTTTGACAGGTGGTATGGCACCCGCTCGGCACAGTGGGGGGGTGTGGCAAGAAATCATCAGGACGCACCTGGCATATGCACTCCAGGTGCCCAGGGAACTGGTAGATCTGTGCCGCCTCTGCCACACAGCAATGGGCCACATTCATAGGGACATGGTATGGTCCACAAAGCTGGCGCTGTGAAAAATGGCATGCTTAAGCTGCCGCCTACCGGAAACAGCAGACGCAGTTTATAACCAGCTGTTGTTCGACAAATGATGTGTGACGAGGCTCGTGAACACTCCGTTGCATGGCCCACGAGGAGCATACGGGTGGAAATGGGCAGAACAGGGCATTTACAAAGTGTGGCATCTATGGGATTGGCGCCCAGATAACACCGTGCTGGAATTGCTGTAGAGACGAATGAGAAGTGAAACGGTTTTCACCTCTTTGCAGCAGTAGACGCAGATCCCAGGGTTCGATCCCTAGACCTTGCCCTACCTGTGTACAGTACCTGTGTAGACCCCGAGAGTTGAACCTGTAACCTGTGTAGTCGTAAACAGTTGATAGGCTGTCATAGGTCCGTAGGTAGCAGAGGGGTTCGGTCTGTAGATCTGTAGGATAGAAGTCTTAGTGAGTTCCAGAAGTCTTAGCTGTAGTCCTTCTAGAAGGTCAGCAAGTGGGCAAGCGGGCCAGTGGTGAGGCAAGTGGTGGACTGAACTGCAGTGCAATTGCAGTACGATCTCGGTAGGTTAGAAGTGAGTCCCCACTCAGTCAGCAGTAAGGTCCAGTCAGTCCCAGTCCGGTCCAGCAAGTACCACAAGGGACTGTGAGCACCATGGGCCGATGGAAGAGGGCAGACCAACGAGTTTCAGAAGTATAAATCAAGAGGCAGCGCCCAGCCTTTGATTCATTCCTGCGTGAGCCATGCGGAAGC